GTTCATTTACTGGACATACCTGCTGTTACAAAGGACTTTCAATGAGCCACACCTATGTGACCTCCTGGTCTAGCCCCAAATCTGCTCTTCCCTTTTGTTCTCTCCCTCCATTTTTGGGTGTCACCAACACTCAATTTGCTCAGGTAAATAATTCAGAGTCCCAGGTGTTCTGGGTATTCTGTGGACCTGGGTATCCCACAGAACATAGTAATGTGGGCCGTGAGGCTGCAGAGTTGGTGGAAAGACCATCTAGGTGGTGTTATGGGAGAGGGAAACTGTCATATGCCACCTGGAGCCTGGCTGGACTATTTCTGAGACACTTTGGGGACTTTTAGAAATACTTAAGAAGATTTTACAGAGGTCTGGGATCCTGTAACAGCAGATTTGGTAAGGTTAAATAAATTTAGGCTATTATTGGCACTGTGGCACTATTTAGAACTCCTCTAAGATTCTGTGTAGGAAACTCAGGTGTCCTAAATAATTTTCTAGCAGTATTTTTCCCACTTAGAATTTTTTACAAGTAGTTCTGCATGTCAAAGTATGACTTTCAAGACATTTTGAAAACAAACTCCACAGCAATGATAATGACTTATTTTATTAAGTATGCCATGGGCTTCACAAGGGTATCTCATGTCTCATAATGATTCTGCAAAGGGGAGTGTTACATATTCCTTTTGCAGATAAGAAAAAATTAGGGTCAGAGAGGTGAATTAACTTGCCTGATTTTCCCTAGCTAGTGAGTAGTTCATTCACTATCTCACTCTGAATTCCATATTTTCTCCAGTAGTCTCATTTCAGTGCCTATAGTATTCTAATATTCTATGGAGTGGAGGTACCATAGTTTATTGGCTTTTATGCACCATAAATTATTTAATAGTCCTTCTGTAGTTGGGACATTTAGGTCAGATTAATAATAATAATAATAATAATAATAATAATAATAATAATAATAATCTGCTATTATATATAACAATGAGGTGAACAGTGGTCCACATTGGTGCCCACTACAGGGTGATAAGCACACTGATTTATGTAGAAAGGTCCAGCTCCCCTGTGGATTTGTGAGCTCCCTGGGGGTGGAGATGTAAGGCGATTGGCAGGAGGCTTTAGTTAAAATGGAGATGTCCAGCTCCCATAAGAGACCTTTAGAGTTAGACTATTTGAGCTTAAAACCTGGAAATTGCATTTTTGCCAAGCTACCCAGGTGATTTTTATAAACTGGACATTGGAGGAATAGGACTCTAGGCTTCTGAGCAATGATGACATAAATTCAATAGCAGTCACCTAGTATTCCCAGAAGGACATTCATAAGTACCCTTTCCTGAAGAATCTCACCACCTTCTTTGTGGAGAAGGACAGGTGCAAGGAAAATAGAGAAAGGAACTCCTACTGGTCTTTCTAGCTGGGTGAATTTCTGTCCTATTCCAGATAGCATTAAAGGGACATAGATTCTGGTATAATTTTAATCATATTATTGTATTTATTTTTAATAGATAATTGGTGTAGCATGATACAAAATTCAAAAAGTACAAAAAGTTATACAATAAAAAGCAAGTCTTTTCCCCATGTCTATACCTCAGTTCTCCAGTTTCTGCCACCTCCAGAGGTAGCCACTATTTTTTTCTGAATTTTAAATAAAGCAGTTTGTAATTTCTTAAAGTGATATACATGTGAAGGGTTGGGACCAGGGTCAAAAAAAAAAACTTCTAAATTTGAGATAATTATAGATTCACAAAAATTTGAAAAAAATAGTACAAAACAGTTCTATGGAACTTTCATCTAGTTTTTTTCAATGAATATATATGTTTTATAGTAATAATGCACAGTAAAACAAGAAAATTGACATTGGTATTTTGCAAATATATTTCCAGACTGCTTTATAATATATAGATTCTTGCAAGCAACTCTACAATCAAGATACTTCATAACAATTCCATCAGCACTCCACATGCATAACTTATCACGGAATACTAGGGACATAATTTTATCAGTTCAAGTCACATGTAGAAACCTTATTTTAAATTCCGTTACCCATTCCCATATATAATACAATTGTATTAATATCTCTTCTATATATTTTGAGAATGACATCAGTCAACAATGTGATTTTTGTCCCATCTACCAAATATAATTTAGAAAACTCAAGAGGAGAAAGGAAGGCCTTTCTATTCATATTTTTACTGTCTTTATTGGTCATCCTTTCCTCCTGACGTTCTAAGTTTCCTTCTTTTTATCATTTCTTCATTTAGAAAAGTTCTGTATTCATTCCTTTATAGTAGGTCCACTGGCTTCAAATCTTCTGAGATTTTTTTTTCTCTGAGAATGTCTTCTCTTCATCCCTAAAGGATATTTTTGTTGGACATGGGAGTCTGGGTTGATGGTAGATTTCTTCAGTGCTTGAAAAATGTTCTTTTCTTCGTTCGAGTCTTTGTGACCTCTTATGAGAACTCCTTTGTGGAAACTGTCATATGTCTCTTGCTACTTTCAGAGATTTTTCTTTTAGTTTCCAGAAGATTGATTATGATGCTTTTGGGCTTGGATTTCTTTCAGATAATCTATTTGGGGTTTATTTAGCTGCTTCACTGTGTAAGTTCATGTCTTCTGCTAACTTTGGGAAATTTTCAGCCTTTATTGCTTAAAATTCCTATTTAGTTTTACATTTTCCCCTTTTCCTTCTTATGCTCCAATACAATGAAAGTAACAAGGATGTTAAATCTTTTGTTATTGTCTCAGGGATCTCTGAGGCTCTGTTGTTATTTTTTTTCAGTCGTATTTTCTCTCCATTGTTCAGATTGGGTGATTTCTATTGCTTTACCTTCAAATTCACTGATTCTTTTCTCTGTCCTCTTTAACCTGCTGTTGAAGGTTGAAGCTCATCCAGTGACTTAAAAAACTTTGTTTATTGTATTGGATATACTAGGCCAAAAGAAAAAGGATGCCTGTGGAATTGGTATCTGTGTTCTGCCCTGGGTCCCAAGATCTCTAGCCAGCCTGCTTTCTTCTTTCCACCTTCCAGAGTCTTCCTGTTTTTTTCTTAATAGATAATATCTAGAATTTTTAGTTGCCTTTAGTGGAAATGTCTAAACACCAATGCATCCTCTCCACATCCTCCCAGGAATGGAAGAGATCATGCATTTATATTGGTTTAGACTCAAATCTGCAGGTGGGAGCCAGGGAAAGATTATTAATGAAAACAAAGTAATTGATTGCTTTTAATTTTTCTTTAAAAATTTTTAAATTTAAAAGAAATTTTTAAAAATTTTTCCTAAATCCATACTTCTTAACTTCACATGCCTGCTTCAATTATGTCTGTAGATGCTGAGTTTGGGGTCCTAGTAAGTAGATCCAGGAGCCAGGACAGGGTGGCAGATGTGATTATGAAGGGGCCAGACCCAACACTGAGAACTTTAAACTTCTGGCTTTAGGGAAAAAAAAGGTGGTTAATACACAATGATTATAATTAGATGATTTTTGTCCAAAAGATACAGGAGGTGTGGGGTAGAATAGTAAAGAAGTTACTAGAATGTGCACCCTACTGAGGCAGGGTAGAATTCCAGAGTGCAGAGCTGGGTAGAGGACAAACAGAGGATAGAGACTCGTGAAGTGGGGTCTTCCCTGAGGCTCACCCCTAAGGGCTGCCTCCAGCTCACCTCTACCTGCTGCCAGGCAGGAGGCTCCAGCAACCAGCAGGGAAGTGTCTCTAGTTAGTTGAAGGTGTATTTGCTGCCTGTCTACTATGTTCACAAGCCTGTAGAAAAACCCCTGAGATTTTTTGCTCTCAACTGCAAATTGGTGTAGCCAATATGGAAAGCGTTATGGAGATTCCTTGGAAATCTGGGAATGGAACCACCAATTGACCCAGCTATCCCTCTCCTTGGTCTATACCCAAAGGACTTAAAAATTACCATACTACAGGGACACAGCCACGTCAATGTTGATAGCAGCACAATTCACAATAGCTAAACTGTGGAGCCAACCTAGATGCCCTTCAGTGGATGGATGGATTAAAAAAAACATTGCATATATACACAATGGGATATTACTCAGCAGTAAAAGACAATAAAATCATAGCATTTGCAGATAAATGGATGGCATTGGAGAAGATAATGCTAAGTGAAGTTAGCCAATCCCCCCCCCCCAAAAAAAAAGCCAAACAAATGCCAAATGTTTTCTCTAATATAAGGAGGCTGATTCATAGTGGGGTAGGGAAGAGGAACATGGGAGGAATAGAGGAACTCTAGATAGGACAGAGGCATGGGAGGGAAAGGAGGAAGCAGGGGGTTAGCAAGGATGGTGGAATGTGATAGACATCATTATCCAAAGTACATGTATGAAGACACGAATTGGTGTCAACATACTTTATATACAACCACAGATATGAAAAATTGTGCTGTATATGTGTAATAATAATTGTAATGCATTCTGCTGTCATTTATTTAAAAAAAATAAAAAATTTTATCCCACAATAAATTCTATATCTTGAAAAATAAAATAAAAATATGAATGCAAAGAGAAAAAAAATCAACAACAGTATACAGTCCAACTTCCCACTTTGCAGATTCCTTTTGCATCCTATTTATCCCCTTTGATACCCACAGGACCAGACCTTAAAGATTCCAGCAAAGAACTTCCCAGGTCACTTTGCTAAGGAGAGAGAACATTAAAACCAAACACAGACAGATAAAGATTAGCCTCTCACCCCAGCAGCCTGAGCTTGTGCCAGGAAAGTGCAATCACCTCACTTCTGAAGCAGATAAAGGTGTGCCTAGGTCACCTACCAGTCACTGGGCAACTGCCGTGACACACTCCTCACACCTGACACTGCTCAGGGGAAAGCCAGGCAGCTTGTGACAGTTTTCCCAGTCAGAGAAAATCTGGCTCAGCAGGCAGGTTGCCATTCGTGCAGTCACCAGAGACAAAGCTTGGCGCATTAGGATCCTTAGCTCCACTGGGCAGTGACTGCTCAGCCCTGCAGGGAGTGGAAGAGCCACAGGCACAAGATGATCCTCAGGAGAAACTTCCCCAAAGGCTTCTGGATTGGGCTGATTCTGGTCATTGCTGTCAACATCCTTCTGGTATTTTATACCAAGGAGACTTTACATAACTTGATTCTGGGGCGTCTACACAAGGAGTTTCATTTGCCCCCACCAGAGTGGGACGGAGCCATGATCAAGAGACTCTCTCGCTTGGAAATGGATCTGCAGCATCTGAGTAAGTTTAGCATGCTAATTTGGAGGGGATGTGTGTGTGAGTGTGTGTGTGAGTGTGTGTGTGTGTGTGTGTGTGTGTGTGTGGTGCATGCAAGTATGTGTGGGTGTGAGCATGCATGTGAGTGTATACTTAGGGACACTTAGTAAAAAATAGGGTGTGGAGGAAAATGGGTGAGAAGCCACATTCTCATCTCTCATTTGCCCTTTCAGGCATCAGAGTCTGATGGGATGCATTGAGAAATAGGTGGTAGGAGTGGGAGTTTAGAGAAGATGATTTGAGGGAGGAGAGCAGAGTGTGTATGGAAGTGGGGTGTGTGTATATATTTGTGCATATGCATGATCACATCTGCATACATGCAGGCAGGGAGACTGAAGCTCAGAATAAAGACCCCAAGAGACTCAGAAATCTAGGAATCTAGGCTCAGGAATCAGCCCTATCTTTAGGCCTATGTGTGACAGGGTTGTTAATGAGAGGTGGCTGTGTCTAGGGTAAAGGGTGCTTCCAATTTCCTGGGAGCTCCTATCATGAATGCGTGGAGGCATTGTTAGAGGGCCGAAGGCCAAATCTTGATATGGCTGCTATGGCGGTGTGACTTTGAGTAAGTGCTTATCTCTCTCAGCCTCAGACTTCGACTCTGTAAATGGAGACAATGATAATGAAAATGATAATGATAGAGAGCTGCCTGACGTCACAGGGTTGGGAACATGCAGAAAGTGATATATGTCCAGTTTTAACCTCTTCATTTAACGTTCTGGGTAGGATTCCAACACATCCTGGGCTTGGTTTGTAAGACTGGCTAACTCCTTTGAATTATATGTACCTGTGCATCTGACTTCAGTGAGAGAAGTGACAATTTTCCCTGCTCCCCAGGTAACAGAGATCAAGGGCTTGAACCCTTAAGGGAGGCGTTGAATGTGTGAGCAGGGATGCACTTGGTGTTGGAGCTGGTCAAGGTCTTTTTAAATGGGAAATGAATATTACCAAGGCTCAGGAAGAGGGACGGAAGGAGGAAAGACAGGAAGAAAAAAAGAAAGGGAGGGAATAAATCAGGGAAAGTCAGAGAGAGGGAAGTGGGACAAGACAGGAGAAAAGTGATGAGGATGAAAGAGAAGGAAAAAAGAAGTGGGAATTAGGGAGAGAGGTTGAGAACTTGTGGAGACAAGAGGAAAGAAGGGAAAGTGAGAAGGGGTGGGGGAGAGGATAAAAGAAGGTGGGGCACGAAACACCCACAGCACCCTCCACACCCTGTTTACACTCAGTACATTTTGCTGTGATGCAATTTTCTGGAAAGCAGGTCCCGTGGGGGGTCATTCTATGGATGTAGCTGTGCATTCCCCATTCATTTCTAGTCACACATGGAAATTACCTCAATGAATAAGTGAACAAGTGAGTGTAAGCAGGAGAGAGAAAAGTACAGGTGGACAGGGATGAAGGGAAGCGTGAGACGGGCTAGAGTGTGGGTGAAACAGAGGGAAGACTGTTGGCTCAGAAGCCCTGGCTTCCCCAGTTGGGTGGAACACTGCACGTGCCAATCTATGTAGCAGGCTTCACTAGGAGCTTGTAGACCCAGGCTGGTGACCCCGGAGCCACTGCCACTCCTTGTAGGAGAACCTAGACCACACCAGGACTCTCCCATGTAACCCTTAGTTCCTTCTACTGCAGTCGCCCCCTTCCCCTGAACCTTAGCATGGCAGGAGTCTTTACTCAGCAGAGATATGACATGCCCTGAGGAGCCATCCAGAGCCACCAACTTACTTTCTTTTATTTGTTTGCAATGACCACTTCTATCTTTCTATCTCATCTTGTTGATGCCATGATTTTTTTTCAGTCTAAAGTGACCGTAGTGTCAGAGACCCTTCCCAGCAGAGCTGAACCTTCCAGTGTCTTCTGGGACCTGTTTCCAGATCACAAATGCTCTTCTGTCCCACAGTTCATCCTTTAATGGAAAATCTTTAAGAAGTGAGGCCCAGTTGGAAGCTTCCAGTCATGTGGGGCTGTGCCCTCAAGTGAGGTACTGAGACCCTGACCCCTCCCCACTCCCTCTCTCTGTTCACTTACCAGCTGCCATGATCTGAGTAGCTCCCTCCACTGTACCCTCCCCTGTCTCACCATAGGCCCCAAAGCAACAGGCCAAGTAACCATGGACTGAAACCTCCAAAACTGTGAGCTAAAATGAAACTTTTCTCTTTATAAATTAATTATCTAATAATCTCTATCAATTAATTCTTTTCTCTTTATAAACTAATTATTTGTCACAGGAATGGCAAGTTAACACATGCTCCAGATTTTAAATTTACAGCTCTTGCCTAACATCCTGGTTGCTCACTGCCTTCAGGGCTCTGGAAAGATTGAAGAAAACCATAAGTCAATAGGAACATTTAGGTAAATCTTCAATTAGGTAAGTCATCAAGAGTAAAAGCAAACACATGATGATACTCATATCCCTGTTGGCAGAGGGACAAGTGACTCTAAACCAGTTTGTTGGATCCTTTCTTGGGGCTCTTAAAAGCCCCACCAGAGCAATATCATTGGGTGTGTCTCCTTTGTGCCGTAAACATTTTCATGTCAATCATGGGAATGGTCTAGTGGCACTATATTCATCTTGCCGGAATGTCTGCAATTTTCAAATTGACTCTAGACTTTCAGTTCCCACTGACAGTAGTGAATGAAAGAAAAAAAAAAATCAGGTGTCACCCCAAAGAGGAAAGAAGGGGAGTTTTGTTTGAGGCAAGGAGAACTCAGTACCACCCTGTGACCCCTATGTGCTTAACACAGAAATGTATGAATAATAATACTACTCAATTGGAACACTTGAAACATTATGCTTTTATTTCCCACCTGAGCAAATATTCATAGTATTTCCACAGCTCTTCTTTGGCAGACCTTGCCATTTAGATCTCTTCCCAAGTTTGCTTCAACCATTCTCTTTTTGCCTTGGGCACTTTAATTGATTCTTCTTCTCCTTTTCCTTTCTCCAGGGCCAAACTTCTGTCATCTTCTTAACATTTTCTTCCCAGTTTTGGACTTCCCTGTTTTCCCTTGGAAGGGCTATAGATGGATCTGAAATACAGCCCAAATCCTGTCACTAAGCCTTGTTCTGTGGCATGGGATTGCGTTTACCCAGAAAAATTTCACACAGTGGAACCATCCTGGTGACACTGGGTAGCAATTATTCAGGAAAAGAGAGCATTCTCTTCTAATATTCAGAAAGATGCTGGATGGGCTGAAGTTAATCCCTCAGTCTGGTTGAAATTTAATGGGGGGTTTAGGGGAGGATTAGTGGGAGCTAAGTGGTCCTATAGCCAAGACCTTTGGTTACTTGATGTTTAATGCCCAGGAGTGTCACAATCACTAAGCATTGGACTCATTACTTTTGCACTCTTTTTCTGCTGCATTTGTAGATTGAGCTCAAGGTACATATATGTTCAGACTCTCCAGCACAAATCTTATAGGGTTGTTATAAAGGTGAGATAAATGATGGATGGGAAAGAGCTTTGAAGTTTGTAGGCCATTTTCCAAACACAAAGCATCATTTTTACTATTGGTACTATAGATCCTGAAGGACCTCTTCTGTATGAGAAGTCCTCTGCCTGGGTCTGTCACTCTGTTCTTTTGAATTAAGTCTGTGTTCCTCAAATGAATATGAACATTAGCGCTATCTGGAGTAAGCATCTTCAGGGAAGTCCTGGGATTCTGTATTTTTTAACAAGCTGTTGAAGTCTTTCCTGTGGCCAACCACATTGGACATTTCCTGCCTAAAAGTTCTTGGTGAATCAAATGAGAAGGGAAAGGGGAGGTGGACGATGGTGGTGCTGGTTAGAGTAGATTTGCCTTTGTCAGCTACTAGAAGTGTAGTATAATGTGACTCCACATTTCACTGTACAGAGGAATTACTTCTTGATTTTGTTAAAATGCAAACTCTGGTAACTTCCCCTGGCCCCAAGATTCCGATTTAGTAGATTTGAACACAGGCTTGGATATCTACTTTTTTTTTTTTTTTAATTTTTATTGTTGGTTGTTCAAAACATTACATAGTTCTTGATATATCATATTTCACACTTTGATGATATCTACTTTTAAAAATAATCACAGTTGATGATTCTGATGTAAATGTTTCTTAGGCTTAATTCTGATAATACATTATTTGATTATCTATTTATTTCTCAGGTCAATGGCAGCAATTCGAGTAGCCTTAAATGGACAGACAAGTTTTGTTGAAGCTGCAGAGAGAGATGGACCTAGCATGTGCTTTGCCAGGACAGCCTTGCACGGCTCTGACAAGTTCACTTGACCCATCACATTCTCTGGGACAAGAGCCATAAATTAAAAATCTGCAGAGTGTGTTAGTTTGCCATTCCTGTGAGAGAAGAAGAGAGAGAGAGACGGGGGTGGGGTGGGGTGGGAGTGTCAGGGTCTCAGTATCCCCCTTGAAGGCACAGCCCCACATGACTGGAAGCTTCCAACTGGGCTTCACTTCTTAAAGGCTCCACCAAGCCGCTACACACAGGTTGTTTGGCTTATTTAGGATCCAAATTTATAGCAAAGAGAAAACCGTTTTACATAAATTAGGAAGGAAAGCAATGCCCAGATAATTAGGATCTAATAAACTGTTTTATCTGCACTCTCCTACCCCGTCCTCTTCATCTGCAGAAGATGGTATGCAACTGGTTATGAAGCAACAAGAAAACAAGGACCACACACAAAAGAGGATAGAAGATGAAGTTCACCCTGCTCGAAAGGCAGTGGAAACCCCTGAGAGGGAGACAAAGAAGCAGCAGAACAGACCCCCAAAGAAACTCTTCCCGAACTCTCCGCTCTTCAAGCAGTGGGGCGACAAGCTTTCTGAAGCCCAGCAGAAAGAGGCCGAGGACCTGTTCCAGAAGTTTGGTTACAACGCCTACCTCAGCAACCAGTTGCCTCACAATCGCAGCCTCATGGACACACGAGATTCCAGGTGGGACGGACGAGGGTTGGTGGGAGGTTCTAGGGACCTCGGTCTGATTTGGGTCTGAGTTTTGGAAGCCATAAAAGTCTAGGGTTGGAAAGAGGGTGGGGGAGTGAGGGATTGCTGGAGAAGGGGATAAGGAGAGTTCTTGTTTTTAATCCCTTTTGCAACAGCAGCTTGGTGAACATTGGAGATAAACAGAGGTATCAGAGAAATGGTGATCCTTGGGAATTCTGATACAATGGGTCTAACCAATGATTTTACAGATGAGGATGCCAGGGCTGAGCAAAGACTTGTGCATGTCACCCCAAAGTTAGCAGCTCTATTTCCTCCTTTCGTACTTTCCTCCAATTCTCTGCTTGAATTCTTTGTTTTTAAATATAATTTTTAGAGACTTTCTGTTTTTATTCCTCATTGTTTTTTTCTTTTCTGCCTTGCCCATCTTTCTTCATATTTTTTTTTAAAGTAACATCTTTGTTGAGGCACAATTCATATACCATCCAATTCACCCATTTGAAGTATGCAATTTAAGTGATTTTAGTATATTCAGAGTTGTGCACCATCCCCACAATCAATTTTAAATCTTTTTCTTTACTAAAAAAAGAAACCCCATATCAGTGTCAGCCACTTTCCATTTCTCCACAACTTCTTACTCCCCTGGAGAGCATTAAAGTACTTTCTGTCTCTATGAATTTGCCTATTCTGGATCTTTCTCGTAAATGGGATCATATAACATAGGGTCTTTTGTGACTGTTTTTTAAAAAAACTATCATCATATTTTCAAGTGTTACAGCATGTATTGATACTTCATTCCTTTTTTAAATAGAACTAACAAAAATTGTATATTTTTATGGGTTCTGTTTAAATATCAATGACAACAGAATCCATTTTGATATAATTATACAAGCATGGAATATATCTTATTCTAGTTAGGATCCCATTCTCATGATACATGATGATGGGATTCACTGTATTGTTTTCATATACATACAAAAAATTATGGGAAATTGTTAGACCAGGACGCAAGAAAAGACCACTGACTCCAATTAAAATCAAATTAGAGCAAGCTTATTATTTTGACCGGCCCGTTGCCTCTCCCTCCCAAAACCGCGGGAACAAGACAGCACCCCAGCTTTCCTGCAGCCCATCTTTATAGCCTAGAAAGTTACACCAAGGGGGGTTACAGATAACAGAACTCTGACAAGCATCACACTAATGGTAGTTTACATTTTTTGCTGGCCCCAACATCAGAATTTATGAGGACCATTAGAGCCTCAGAGAGGGTTGTTGTCTGGCCAGGGAAAGCCAAGATTTGTGAGGCGTCACTAAAGTTTCAGAGAGGGCTGCTATCTGGTCAGAGAGCCAGGCATGGGTGAGTTCAAGGCATGGGCAGGCATTCCAAGCAGGTTCAGAATTTGCAGTAATTTATAGTAAAGCCAAAATTATCTTTTCATGGCTTTGTGGCAAGATGGCTCCCAATTTTAAGAACAGGTTGGGTCTATCAGAAATTACATGAGATTCATTCTACTGCCTTTCCCTCTTGTATCCCCCCACCTTTCCCTTCATTCTCCACTGTCTAATCTACTGAACTTCTATCTCCCCCTCACCTCCCTGCTATTGTGGATTAGCTTCCACATATCAAACAAAACATTTAACCTTTGTTTTTTGGGGGGATCAGTTATTTCACTTAGCATGATAGTCTCCAGATCCATCCTTTTGCTGGCAAATATCATAAAGTCATTCTTTTTTATGGCTGATTAATACTCTATTAATATTTCAACATTTTCTTTACCCATTCATCTGTTGAAGGGCAACTAGGTTGGATATTTTATATTTTAACTATGACTTTGAAATATAATTTATTAATATGTTAAGTAAAACTATATACATTATATTAACTTTACTATCTTGATTAACTAGAATAACTTCTTGTGGTTGTACATGATGTGAAGTTATACTAATGGTGTCTTCATATATGAACATAGGAAAGCTATATCTGATTAATTCTACTATTTTTCCTATTCCCATTTCCCCTCCCTTCCGTCTATTCCCCCCTGTCCAACCGGTAAACCTCCACTCCTCCCTTTGCCCAGCTTATTGTGAGTCAGCATCTACATAATCAGAGAGAACATTGACCTTTGGTTTTTTGGGGATTGGCTTATTTCACTTAACATGATATTGTCGAATGAGGTTACTTTGTCTGAAGTACCATATTTTATTTATTCATCAGTTGATACACATTGTATTGTTTCTACTTTGGACTATTATGAATAGTGTTGCTATGAAGACAGCAAGTGTTTGTATTGACCAATAACTTTGTGTTTCTTGGGTGCAGTCTAAAAGTTGAATTCGTGGGTCATATGATAACCACATTAAACTGTCAGACAATTTTCCAAAGTGACTGCATGATTTTATATTCCAACCATCCATTTATAAGAGTCTTGATTTTTCCACATTATCACCCACATTTGTTATTATTTGTGTCTCTTTCTTTCTTTCTCTCTCTCTCTCTCTTTCTTTTTTTTTAGTATCAGGGATTGAACTCAGGGGCACTGGACAACAGAACCACATCCCCAGCCCTGTTTTGTATTTTATTTAGAGACAGGGTCTCATTGAGTTGCTTAGTGCCTTGCTTTTGCTGAGACTGGCTTTGAACTCATGATCCTTCTGCCTCAGCCTCCTGAGCCGCTGAAATTATAGGCATGTGCTACCACATCTGGCATTATTTGTGTTAAATTTTAGTTAGTCATTCTGATGAGTGTGAAGTGATATCACATTGTGATTTTGTTTTCAATCTTGAAGGCCTAATGATGATGGACATCTTTTCATGTGTTTATTTACCATTTGTATGTTTTCCTTGGAGAAATTCAGAGATGCCTCCTTTTCAAAATTGGTTTATATGCCATTATTCATTATATATCCTAGATATAAATTCCTATTAGAAACATGCAAATATTTTCTCCTAGTATATGGGTTGTCTATTCACTGTCCTGGTGGTCTTCTTTGAGGCACAAATGTTTTAAATTTTGATGATGTCCAATTTATCCATTTTCTCTTTGGTTGCTTGTATTTTCGGTGTCATATATAAGATACTATTGCTGAAGGCAAGGTAACGAAGATTTATACCTATGTTTTCTTCCAAGAGTTCTGTAGTTTCAGTCTTAAAATTTGGGGGCCATATTATGTGAATTTTTATATATGGCAATGTGTATGTGGTATAGGAGTCCAACTTTATTCTTTTGGATGTGGTCTGATCATTATCCTGCTGTCCCACCACCCTCCAGTGAAGAGATAAGTTTTACCACATGTGTTCTCTTGGTACTCTTGTTGAAATGAATTGGGCAGAATCACAAAGGTTTGTTTCTAGGTATCAATTCTCTTTGCCTCATGTTTACTTGACCCTTATGATAATGACAGACCACTGTGGTAACACTAGTTTTGTGGCAAGTTTCAAAATGTAATAAAGTGAGTTTTCAACATTTCTTATTTTTTAAGATTGTTTTGTCTATTTAGGTACATGAATTTCTATGAATTTTAGGATTCACTTATTAATTTCTGAAAAAAAAACCATCAGGATTTTGATAGGGATGGTCTTCAATCAGTAGATCAATTTATAGAATATCTTAACCAATATTCCAGTTCATGAACATGGGAAATATTTCCATTTATTTAGGTCTTTTAAAATTTCTTTCAACAATGTTTTGAGTTTTCAAAATATGAGTTTTGCATTTCTTTTGATTGTATATCACCTTTTAAGAAGTGTCAGCTCCTTAGTCCATTTATTGATTGGGTTTTTTTTTTTTTTTGGTGTTAAGTTTTTTGAATTCTTTATATATCCTGAAGAATAGTGCTCTATCAGATGTGCATATGGCAAAAAATTTGCTTATATGTTTATAATATCCAATCCCTTCCCCTACTGCCTTCCCCCCTTTGCTATAATTTCCACATATGAGAGAAAACATTCAACCCTTGATATTCTGAGTCTGGCTTATTTCACTTAGCATGATGTTCTTCATATCTGTTCATTTACCAGCAAATGCCAATATTTAGTTCTTTTTAAGGCTGAGTAAAACTCCATTGTGTATATATACCACATGTTCTTGATCCATTCATCTATTGAGGGGCATTTGGACTGATTCCATAATTTGTCTACTGTGAATTAGGCTTCTATAAACACTGAAGGGACTGTGTCACTAGAGTATGCTGATTTTAGTTCCTTGGGATAAATACAAATGAGTGGGATAGCTGGGTCATATGGTGGTTCCATTCTTAGTTTTTGAGGAATCTGGTAGATTGTTTTTTCAATTTCTTTTTCAATCTGTTCATTGTAAGCCTATAAAAACACAATTGATTTTTGTACAACCTCACTGAACTAATGTATTTTAATAGCTTTTTAGTGGGTTTTAAGGGCTTTTCTACATATAAAATTATGCCATCTGCAAAAAAGATAGTTGTATTTCTTCCTTTCCCACATAAAGCCTTTTATTTCATTTTCCTTCTAATTGCCTGGTTGGAACCTCTATTGTGATGCTGAACATAATTAGTGAGAAGTGATTTCCTTGTATTATTCATCATTATGGGCGGGAAAGCAATGACTATTTCACAAAAAACTGTGGGTTTTTTTAATATACATGCCCACTAGAAATTTCATTCTATGCCTAGTTTGTTTAGTGTTTTCTCTCTCTTTTACCATAAAGGAGCATTAAATTTTATGAGACGCTTTTTATGTGTCTATTAAGATGTCCATGAGATTTTTGTTCACTAGCTATTCATGTGGTATATTACATTAAAATTTATTGATATGGTTTTAGGATATCAAACCAATTTCAAATTCTTGGCATTAAATCCCATGTGGTCACAGTGTATAATCTTTTCTCCATGTTGCTGGATTTGGTTTGCTCCTATTTTAAAACCTTTTTTTTTTTTTTGGTGTGTGTCTGTATTCATAAGATACACTGGTTTTTAGTTTTGTTTCTTCAGGATATTTTTTTATCTGATTTTGGTACCTG